CAGTTCAACTTACAGTACGTGATCCGCCTCCCTAGCCCCAAATGCATCCATCCATAATTCAGAATCCTTCCCACTTCAGACTTTATCCCGCGACTCAGCGGTTTGGGTTTTTGTTTTGTCTTGGTTTTTTTGTTTAAATTTCATGTATTTGAGTGTTTTGCCTGCAAGGATGCATGTGTGCCACAAGCATGCCTGCAAAGATCAGAAGAGGGCATCCGATTCCCTGGAACTGGAGTTACAAATAGTGTGAGCCACCACATGGGTCCTGGGAACCCAACTGGGATGCTCGGTAAGAGCAGCTCTCAGCCGTGGCCATCCCTCCAGACCCGACTCAAAAGTTTTATGAGTGTGGGTGAGGGGAAGAGAACATCCAGTCTATTGAGGATTAAACAAAGCATGAGAATACACCCTATTTTCATCTATTTATGTTAGCGTGAGTTCATTGCTGTGTTTAAATGAATTAATTCTTTTCTTCCTCAGTCTTAATTTCTAATCCAGTAAACATCAACCAAACTCTTGAGGCCCTGAAAAACTCTGAAGAATGCCAGGGGTTCCTGAGGTCAGAAAGTTTGAGGATTGGTAGTATAACAGTCAAAAGGCCAAGTTCCAGAGCCAACTGCCAAGTCAAGTCTCCTCCGCCACTGTGTGACTGGACACCGCCCCTCAGTCATTCTGTGGTACTTAGCTCTAAGACTGTCAAAGAAGGAAATGATTGATACATGCACGGTATACATGCACGGTACTCAGAACTACAGACACATAGCTGCGCGGTGGTGGCGCAAGCCTTTAATCCCAGCACTAGGGAGGCAGAAGCAGGCAGATCTCTGTGAGTTCGAGGCCAGCCTGGGCTACCAAGTGAGTTCCAGGAAAGGCGCAAAGCTACACAGAGAAACCCTGTCTCGAAAAACCAAAAAAAAAAAAAGAACTACAGACACTACCCATCATTCTCTTCAGGGTCAGGCTCAGCCACCACCATTGTCTCCTTTTCCACCTCCCCCCATTGCCCGCCTTGGGTTTTTGTTCAGCTTCCTTGCCTTGGCCAAATCCAAGCTCTCTGCTGCTTCTGCCTCAGAGGGGGCCAAAGAAGCTGAGGTAAACACAGGCACCACTTTCCTACCACTGCCCTCCAGCAGCCCACGACGCCGTGAATTTGCCCTTCACAGCAGCTCCATCAGCAAATGACAACTAGAAAATCAAAGTGAGCCAGGCAAAGTTTTTAAAAAACATGCTATGTCAGATGAATCTGAATGTAGAGTAGAAAAGCTAGCCTTAGGAATAATCAATGGACCGGGAGGAAGTGGAGAGAAAACGCAAGCTTTTTCCATTCCTTAAAGGAAAAGGTGCTATTTACCCAAAGTGCCTTCCGGTGGGAACTGGTTTTGTGCTTTGTTTTGGTTTTTGCCTACGTCTATCTCCTTTATGAAATCTTTGACCTACCCAAGGGCCCTCTTGCCAATGGTAAACAACTCAAGCCATCAGAAGCTTTTTTGATGGACCAGATTCCTATGGCACGCACTTGACTAAGAGCCATCTGATCTTGGAAGAGGGGAAGGTCTGAGATTTTTAGGATGATTTATAATAATCAAATTCTATGATTACTCACAATCTCTTGAATTTATGACTTTTTAAATCAACATTTGAATTATTTCTTTAATTCTTGCTCCTATTTTACAATTTGGAAAGCTGGAGCTCAAAGAAACTAGCAAACCTACCCAAAGCCACAGAACCAAAAAGACAGGAATGAAACTGAAATACTCCTGAACTTGGAGCATTTAAAGAGACAGGAGCCTGGGTACACACAGCAGGAAGCAGAGTGCCCGGGTTGGGGTGTGGGTTGGAGTTACAACTAAACTAATTTTATCAGGGGGTTACCACATAAGCAAATGGGCCCTAGTGTGGAAATAACCTCCAGATTCCCCCGAGTCTCCCACGGCTTCTGGGCTGCTCCAACCACAGCTCAACCCATACAGCTCGAATCACAATTTTTAGTCCTTTTTTAAAGTGTATGTGTCTCTGTGTGTGAGTGTTGTGTGTCTGAGTGTGTTTGTGTGTGTATGAGAGTGTGAGTGAGTGTGTGAGAGAGTGGGGGAGGGGGGACGTGTACCTAGCCAGGTGGAGGTCCTCACACAACTTTCAGAAGTGGTTCTCTCCTCCACCATGGGAGTTCCAGGGATCCAACCCAAGTCCTCAGACTGGTGAGCAAACACCATCTTACTGGCCTTACTTTTCAATCTACTAATTTCTTTGTACAATGGGTATCTTGGAAATTAGAGGGATTTTTTTTTTAATTTAGATTTATTTATTTATTTATTTATTAGTTTTCTCAAGATGGGGTCTCGCCTATGTAGCTCTGGCTGTCCTAGAACTCACTAGTTAGACCATTTTGGCCTAGAACTCACAGAGATCCGCCTGCCTGTCTCCCGAGTGCTGGGATTACAGGCATGCGACAGTACACCCAGCTGAGATGTATTTATTTTTATTTTATGTGTATTGGTGTTTTGCCTACATGTACATCTTGGTGTGGGCATCAGCTCTCCTGGAACTGGGGTTACAGATGAATGTGAGCTATTGTGCGGGTGCTGGGAATTGAACCCGGGTCCTCTGGAAGGACAGCCAATGCTGCTCTTAACTGCTGAGCCAGTTCTCCAGCCCTGAAGTTTTAAAAAGGTACCCAGTGTGTTTTATATTTAGGCTGTTTCTGAGTAGGGTGTTTTGTAAGTTGAGAACCGTCTGCATTCATGCATGATGTCATTAAATATATGTCTGGTCTGTCTAAAACTCTCTGGCATTTGTCCTTTACCCACACTGCCCGGTATTTTCAGTTCTCAATATGTAAGTTTAAAAGGCATAGCCAAATCTAATGAATGTCAAACTTGTACAGCGACTCAAGTCCACTACAGTACTTCTGAACAGGAAAAAAAGAGAAAACTGATTCACAAAGGATTAATTAGGATGAATAATCACTTGAAAAGAATACAAAGAAGACTTCTCTGAAACCATTAGTCCCCCGGAATATGTTTCAATGCGCGTTAACTACAACACCACTCTTGAGAGGCAACTGTGGTCCTCTATGAGATGACAGACACTGAAACTAGGACCGTAGTATTCTAAAAGGTGCTGAAGCTGAGCATGCAAACGTGGGTTAGGAGTGGTGAGCTAGTTAAGCTAATAAACCCAGTTGGGTGGCCCACGTCTGTGTCCTGGCACTCAGGAGGTAAAATCAGGGTAATCAGGAATTCAAGGTCTTCTTCCACTGCAGAGCAAGTTCAAGGCCAGCCTGGACAATGAGACCCTCATTCAAAAAAATAAATAAGAACCAGTGAGAAGGCTCAGCAGATAAAGGTAGCTGCCACCAAGTTTCATGACCGGAGTTTAATCCCCACAACCAATGTGCTGGAAGGATGTAACTCCCACAAACTGCATTAACTAAAAGCCCAAATAATCCAGGTCCGTGGGAATACTTCATTTTCTCCATATTCTCCCCCAAAAGGCACACACATACACACACACACACACAAACAAAAACAAACAAACAAAAAAAAACCTATCATTTAAAATTAAAATAAATAGCTGGGCGGTGGTGGCGCACGCCTTTAATCCCAGCACGGGATTAAAGAGCCAGGCGGATCTTTGTGAGTTCGAGGCCAGCCTGGTCTACAGAGCGAGATCCAGGAAAGGCACAAAGCTACACAAAGAAACCCTGTCTCGAAAAACAAAACAAAACAAAAAAAAATTAAAATAAATAAGCTAATGAAATTAAATAGTTTTTTGCCGGTTTTGTAACTTATTAGCTCTGCCCAGTAGAACATGGGCAAGAGAAATACTTAAATGTGCTGAGCTCTTAAATGTGGCTAGTGCTAATCAAGAATTTAATTTTTTGTTTTAGTTTTAATTCATCCATAATCAAGTCTCTTTGAGCAATAGAAAAAAATCTGGCTTTACTGGTCTAAAGACCAATTTGTGAGTATAAGTCATAGTTGTTGCCCATAGGCTGTAGCTAAATCTCAAGCCATTGATTGAGAGCTCAAATGAAGTTAGGTAATTGGGTATAAATTTTTCTTCAGAAAAAGCAAATTTTTTTTTTCAGAGATTGCTTTTCTTATTTAACAAACATCAAAAACTATCAGGGGGTGGACTGAAGAGAGTGATTAGCTGTTAAGAGCACTTAAGGCACTTGCAGAAGACCTGGGTTCGGTTCTCAGCACCCACATGGTGGCTCACAACTGCCGGGAACTCCAGTTTCAGGGGATCTGATCCCTCTCCTGACTTCTGCTGTCACTGCACACACACACAAGGCACACACACATACACTCAGGCACACACAAATACACACAAAGATCTTTAAAAACCATCATGTAAAAGAAGAGCTGTCATCTGCAAAACACAACATAGGAAGTGAGATGTATACAGACTGGATATAGTTATCCCCAACATCAGCTGCTTACTGTGGGAAGGATGGATGGATGGGTGAAAGAGTGGACAGACAGACAGTTGGACGAACAACCAGAAAACAAGGACGTGTGAAGAAGGGGGAAGTTGGGGTGGTGAGAGTCATAATGAACCAAAACTAAGCAAGGACTTCATTCATGAGGACATTCCCCTTGTGGTTTCGGTTAGAAGTGAATCTACACCATACCCTAACAAGACCAAGCTGATGAACTGTGTCAGCTCATCCTTTCAACAAGTATTGTGGACCCTGTAACTCCTGTCACTTCAGGACAGACAACTGTGATAAGCTCCAGGACATCATGTGGAGCATGTATGCCTGCCCTTTGGGGTACTTAATCAGCCCCATAGACAGGTAACAAAAATTCTGAGGTAAAAACTTCTAAAGGTGCCACCACACAAAAGAAACTTCTAACCCAGCCCAGGCTAGTCAGGAAAAGAAACTTCTAGAAAAAAGAAAAGAAAAGGGAAGGAAATGCTATCTGCCTATTGAATCTATCTCATATGTATGTTCTCATGGAAATTTTCCTTGTGTTTGCCATTACATCACTGACCTTTTCAAGGGTGCTCACTTCTTGAGTACACATCAATCAATATAAATTTATTGAATGCCGAAAATCCAAGTGCCTCATTTTCCTGGGTTAGTCTCCCCATGTGCTAGAAGCTGAAGTTACAGGAAGACAAACACGTCCCTGGAGAAAAAGAAGTTCCCAGGTCAGAGACTTCAATAATTTTCCACATAAGGAAAACATAATACTGCTTTGTAACACATTTCTTCAGAAGTTCTTTTTTAAATTGTGATTTTTCTATCCGAATTAAATCTAGACATCTCTCCAAAATAAACTTCAGAAAGGCTAATAAAAGAGAAAAAAAAACGCACTAAAATGTAACTTTAAATATTTCAATGCGATTAAATCCATTAATAGGAAATTCTTTGTGCACTGTTTTATTTTATTTTTGTATTAGTGTTTTGCCTGTCTGTACGTCTTTGTTCCACATACAGGCCTGGTGCATGAGGAGGACAAAAGAAGACATTGGATTCCCTGGAACTAGAATTGCAAATATAGGTGTGGGCTGCCACATGGGTGCTGGAAATCAACCCTGAGTCCTCAGCAGCAACAGCCAGTGTGCTGTTAACAGCTACCCTCCGCTTTACCCTCCAGGAAATTCTTCTAGGCTAGCAACATCGCATAGATTTAATTGACAGTCTGGAGTCAAAATCAGGTTGCTTTATTTACAAGCTGTATGACCTTAGCAAGTTAGCTAACTTCTCTCTCTCTCTCTCTCTCTCTCTCTCTCTCTCTCTCTCTCTCTCTCTCTCTCTCTCTCTGTGTGTGTGTGTGTGGTTTTTCGAGACAGGGTTTCTCTGTGTAGCCCAGGCTGCCCTGGAACTCACACCGTAGACCAGGCTGAAATCCACCTGCCTCTGCCTCCGGTGTTGGGATTGAGGGTATGCACCACCATGCCCAGCTTCGTGTTTCTATTTGTAATAGGTAAATGAGTGATAAACAGTCCCTGCTTCACAGAGCTGATGAATTAAATATGCATACTATGGGGGATTTGAAAGCCTGGGGCTGTGTTGCACACCCGTGCCCCCAGCACTTGGAAGACTGAAGCAGGAGGATCAGGAGTCCAAGATCATCCAAGGCTACCTAGAAAGTTCAAGGACAGCATGAGCTATATAAGACCTTGGCTAGGGGGAAAAGAGAAACAATAAGGAATTTGAAATAGTGACCACCCTGATGACTATGTATTATCTAGTCTCATTAATTACAATGCTTCTAATTCCAGGAAATTCTAAAAACCAAACAAATAAAATGCATAGTTCAGAAGTTAGAACAAATGTGGGAAGAAGGCATCCCTCAGGTTCACGAACTTCCGTCATTCTGTCCTTTTGCTCCACTTGGGGGACAGAAGAGGGCCCCCGGGCACATCTGTGAAGAAATCTGAACTCAATAGCATATCACCTTGAAGACCTCTTCCCAGGAAAGTCAGCAGACAAGATACAAATTTCCTAATTCAGAGGCGTGTGTGTTGTCTTTGTATTTATTTCCCTGTTGCTGTTTTTTTTTTTTTCTTTTCTTCCCTTTCCAAGACTTTGGTGGAATGACTCAAAAGAAAAATGCTCACAATTACTAGAAAGAATCCAAAACGCCACGAGTGAAAACAGTCGCAGCATGGCCGCACGGCATGCTTCCTCCCGAGGGCCGAGATAAGGGCGGGGAGTCTAGTGATGTCTCCTCGACCAAGCAGCCTAGGAGTGCCGTGTACCCTTCGGTTTGCCGTTTCCAAATCCTCGCCATCTGGAAATCACCCCGCGAGGCTTCGGGGAGTTCCTCGTGGGTCTGGGGAATCTAAGGTGACGACTGCGAGCGCCCGCAGGCCCCTGCTCGCTCGGGGGACCGGGGGATGGGATGGGGAAGGGGGGGGGGGACGACACGCTCTGCACCGCACAGCTGCCCACATCAGGACCACGAGTGCGAGCACACGGGGCGGCTGTCCTCGCTCCCGCCTCGGGACGTGCGTAGCTGCAGCGCCGCGCGCGCGCGTGCGGCTTTCCCTCCAAGCCCCCGGGATCAGCCCCGACGTCCGGGGATGCCTAGGTTTTCCCCGCGTCACCGGCTCCCCGGTGCTGCGGCGGCACCCCCGTCCCTCCCGTCCCTCCCGCCACGCGCCCGGGGAGGAAGGCGGAACCGAGCGGAGTGAGTCACCGTCACGTGGGCCCGGGGGGGGGGGGGAGCGAAATCCGAGGCGGGCTGCGCAGAACGCATCCGCGCAGCGGCTGCCCGCGCGCGCTTCGCCGGCCTTGGCGCCCCGCAGCCTCAGTGGAAAATTTTCAGGAGGCGAACTGAGGCTGCGCGGCGCGGGCCACGCCCCTCCCCTCCCGCCCGGTTCCTCCTTTCCCCTCCCACCCCCCCACCCCCCCTGGGGAACAGCCCCTCCCCGCCCGCGCGCTGCGGCGCAAGCCCCGCCCTCCCCGGGGAACCGCTAGCGCCGACCCCGCCCCCCGCCCCCGGGCCCGGCCTTGACTTCCCCGTAGCTCCACGCGCTGGCCGCCGGCGCGGCTGCAAGGCGACCTCGTGTGTGAGCGAGCGCCTGGCATCCCGAGGGGGCGAGGAGCGGCGCCCTGGCGCCTCCACCGCCGCCACCCCCAGCTCCACGGTCGGTCGGGTCCCACACCTCCTGGATGGAGCGGGACGGAGGGAGGAGCGGTAGGGATGGGCGTCTTGCGGGCTCCGCGAGGGGAATCCATGGTCGCCTAAACAAAGCTCGTCCTGGACTTCACCCACCTGGGACGTAAATACTAAGTCGTCCTCCTCCCCCCCATCCAGAAACACGCCTCACAGAGTTTCTCCCCGAAGCAGCCGTTTTGAGGAGCTTGACCTCACCCACCCAGGGGTGACAAATGGGCTACCCCATCCATGACACCCGTGGGCTGTAAACGGGGTGTTGTGGTGTGCGTGGTTCGCCTCAAGAAAACAAATGAATCGGTTGACACGGGTGAGTGTTGCAGAATGCGGAGGCATCCGGTGAAGTGGCGTGGCATTAGCTCCAATTGTCCCCACACCATGTCCCCAAAGATGCAGGCTTCTACATGAGACAGCATTGTGCCAAAGATTTCTGCCAAAACAGAGTTTCTGTGAGTAAAGATCTCAGGACCAAGCCCATAAATCTCTCTCCCCAACCAGAATTGCAAGTATGTTAATTTTAATAAATCCTCATTTCGGTATCATAGCCTTGGGCAAAGAAAGATCGGGAAATTGAAGGCCAAGAAGGTTGTCTGTCCAATATATCGATAAACCCCTGTCCTTTCTCTGTGAACAAGAAGACTGCTCATACGTTAAAAAGGAAAAAAAAGTCACATTTTGGAAAGTTGTAATGATCTGAGATTTTGTTTTTCAAAACAACTGAATGTAGCAATGGTTACAATCAACAAAGCGTGCAACTGTATACGTGCACACACTCCTTGTTTTCTCGCTTACTTTTTCATTCTGAGTGTGAGCATTCCGTAAACCTGTGGACATGTGTGAGAACAGGTGTGATAGGCTTTCACTTTCCAACCCATTCATTGCTGATGAGCAGGTGTCAGGGAAGAGAACTAGGTCCATAAATCCTTCATCTTCTCTGCCTTTCTTTCCTACACCTGGCTAAATGGACCACGGCAGGGCCACTCGGAAACGCCAGTGATAAGCATTACAGAAAGCACCTAAATCAAGCCATCCCTCATCTTTAGGGAGGAGACAGAAAGGGCGCTGATGCTGGGTCCCTGGAGAGTTTCCCAGTCTCACTAACATTAAACATTTATACTAAAGTATCTGTAAATCTACCCGAATATTTCTTAAAAGGTCTTTTAAGGCTGTCTTTTAAGGGGCACCGGAATTTTATTCTTGTGGAGGAAAGCATGCATTGAACATGCTTACCGATACATGGTTTCGCTGCCTAATGCCCTTTTTATACATGATTGAGTTACTTGGTCCCGGTCAATGGAGCGTGAAACATCACAGCAGCTCTGCCAGGGAATGTTATCTCCCTTAATAAAATTGGCTCAGAATTGACACCTCTGTCCTCTCCAGTGGATGTCTGCCCTTTGACCCCCAAAACCATTCTAGTCAGCCTGTAGTCCTATTGGGAGGCACCCCAGGATATTAAAGAGGTCAGAATTCGGGCGGGGTGGGGGACATGAGTTGCAACTAGTTTTAGAGAATACTATCATGGCCAAAAGTCACCCTCAAAACTGCTCTTTCTGCAAACCTCCTACTATGTGCTGTAGTCTACGCCACTTTTCATTGCATAGAGCATCTGTTGCACTTGTGCCTGGTTGACGAACCCTCTGTGGTAGCCAGCACGGGTCTCCCTGCCGACATCCACGCTTAGCTGTAGTCTTCTGCGTTGAATCAGGACTTGTCTTTGTGGGTAAACACAATATGACAGAGGAAAGAAGTGTGTCTGAAGAGCAGGTCATAAAGGCAGCTTCTGCGTTGGTCTCTCCTCAGTCGTCTGCACTAGGATAAGCCAGGAGCCACGTCGTTGTCGTGGGGACTGATAGAGGAGCCTTCGAGAGGAACCAACTGGCCGTGCTGAGTTGCCACAGTGGGAGTGAAGGATGCTGAAAGGACTGTCGCAGTCCTTATGGAGACAGCAGGGAACTACAGCCCCACTAGAGACTGCAGCTTTGGAGTCGGCCTCAAGCAGAGCACCCAGCTGAACTTTTGAATTCCTGATTGGCAGAGACCTTGAGAACTAATAATTGATGGCTGTTTTCAGCCAGTAAGCAAGGATAATTTGTTACGCAGCGATCGAAACCTAACGGAGTATCCTCCAGCCTCAGAAACATGCCCCGATCAGCAAAATCCTCAATTCTGTTACTTTGGACTTAGCCATTTTACAGAAGTTAAAGTCCTCTTTTATTGAGCACCTTCTATACATGATCCCAAGAATAGCATGTACAAAGCGATGGGGGAGGAGGGCCAAGAAAAGGATTTTCTAACGGACCCAGAGGAGGAGATTAGTATTGAGAAAACATGGAATGTGACAATGTGGATAAAACTGGAAGCCATTTTAATACGTGAAATAAGCCAAGACTTACACTGTAGGATCTCATGTGAAATTTAAATTAGTTGAGTTTATAGAACTACCTGGTGGGATATCGTGGTTAAATCTGAAGATGGCAAGGTCAAGTGCTTACTGTACAAGCACTAGGACTTGAGTCTACAGCCATAGAACCCACATTTCCTTTCTCTCTCTCTCTCTCTCTCTCTCTCTCTCTCTCTTTTTCCCAAGACAAGGATTCTCCGTATACCCCTGGCTGTCCTAGAACCTGATCTGTACACAAGGCTGGCTTCGAACTCAGAGATCCACCTGCCTCTGCCTCTTGAGTGCTGGGATTAAAGGCGTGCGTGCCACCCCTGCCCCGGCTTGAACCCACATTTTTAAAAAAGATGAAGAGTATGGCAGCCCGCACCTGTAATCCCAGCCTTAGGAAGCAGGGACAGGAGGATCCCGGTGGCTTGTGGGCCAGTCATTCTAGCCAATCAGCGAGCACCAGATTCCCTAGGAAATCATGTGATCGGAAGATCAAGTGAAAAGTCATAGGGGAAGACACAGCACATTGACTTCTAGCCTTTACAGTGTAAGCATGGGTATACATACACCATACATCGACACACCACACACACACACACACACACACACACACACACACACACACACACGGAGAATGAATAGGAAATTTCAGTTAGATAGAGTCAGTTTACAAGGGATATTGTACATCATGGTGACTATAACTAATAACTATATATTTTATTTTGAATATTCAAATGCAGATACTACTAAGCTTATTCGAGCCATTTCATATGTAAACACATTTCAAAATGTCTTTCATAAAATATATAATTTTATTGGACAATTTAAAAATAAAATAAGAAAATATGGAACTCATGGGAATAAAGGAAAGGGTGTGGTTTGGAGGAAGAGGGAGGGGAGGAAAAGTAATTTTATTATCTTTCTATAAAGCTAGTGTTTAAGTTTGAACTTTGAGTAACCCTGTCTTGGGACAAGGGAATCAGGCTGTCGTTTAAATAGATGAAACAAAGCTATTAGAAAGCAAGTCTTAGCAATTATTCTCATATCTGTGGCTCGCAGAAGAGTGGGTCTGAGAAAAAGAGAAAACAAGAGTGTCCATCACAACCATTACAACAGTCTGGTGTGTGTGACAGGTAAGGGGGAAAAATCAAATGTATAAATTCAGCAAATGTTTTGCTGTTGGCCACCTACGTATCACGTAGGATACTGGAGTGAACGATGCAGAAAGAGATGTGGGAGGGGGAAGATGCAGAGAGTCAAAGATCATTAGCAGATAAACAACAAAAACAAGCAGTATCCCACCCTGGTGGAAACATCTGTATCATCCCCGCCAACTCTCAAGACTTGAAGAACATCGTAGAAGAGGGGGCGGAAAGGATCTAAGAGCCAGAGAATGGAAGGGGCACTGTGCAACACTGTCTTTCGGACATGACATGGTCCTTCATTGCACATCTGCCTGAAACATGTACAAGACTAAGCCAACAAGATCAACCACCATTCCACCAAGCAGCACTAATGGAACTCAGTGGATTACAAGAAAAGAGAGAGGACATGAAGGAGGGAAGCTGGACATGGGAGTGCCTGAGAAAGTGGGAAGGGGTGTTGGGGTGGATATGACCAAGATACATTGTTCTCATGTATGAAATCATCTAATAAGTAAAAGATATATTTAAAAATAAGGAACAAGCCAGATGTAATGATGTATGCCTTTATCTCAGCACTTGGGAGGCAGAGGCAGGCAGATGTCTGAGTTCAAGGCCAGCCTGGTCAACAGAGTCAGTTCCAGGACAGCCAAGGCTATGCAGAAATTCTATCTCAAAAAAACAAACAAACAAAAAACCCAACAATAACAACAAAAAGCATCCCACACCACACATCATGTTTTCATTTCATGTAGAAACACAATAAAAATAAAACAGTATCAACCTAGGCTGAAGTGCTCAAGCAAATATTTTTGAGGCTATGTTATTTAAGGATATAAAATGGAGAGAGAGTGTTAGAGAGGAGACTGAGATGGCCAAGGGCACAGCCAAGGGTGTAATGTTAAATAAGAAATACAATTTTATTCTGATTGCAATTCGAGGTTTCTAGAGGCTTTATGTAAGGGAATAAATGATTTCTCGCTTTATGTAAGAAATTTGAGCTGGGCATGGTGGGGCAAGCGTTTTAATCCCAACACTAGAGAGTCAGAGGCAGTCAGATCTCTGAGTGTGAGGCTAGCCTGT